TTTAGATAGTATTTTCCCAACCACCTTTTTTGTTTGTTTGTTTGTTTGTTTGTTTGTTTGTTAGAGACAGGGTTTTGCTCTGTCCCTCAGGCAGGAGTGCAGTAGTTAGAACTACCGGCATGCACCACCACACCCAGATAATTCTGTTTTATTATTTTTTGTAGAGATAGGGTGTATTAGTCTATTCTTACATTGCTATAAAAAATAATTGAGATTGGGTAATTTATAAAGAAAAGAGAAATTGGCTCATGGTTCTACAGGCTGTTCAGAAAGCATGGCAGCATCTGTTCAGCTTCTAGGGAGGCCTCAGGAAACTTACAATCATGACAGGAAGGTGAAAGGGGAACCAGTGCTTCACACCATAGCCAGAGCAGGAGGAAGAGAGGACGAGAAGAGGTTCTACAGACTTGTAAACAACCAGATCTGGTGAGAACTCTATCATGAGAACAACACTAGGTGGGATGGCACTAAACCATTGGAAACTGCCCCCATGATGCAATCACCTTCCACTAGGCCCCACCTCCAACACTCAACATGAGATTTGGGTGGAGACATATCCAAACCACGTCACAGGGTCTTCCTACATGGCCCCAGCTCGTCTTAACCCCTGGCCTCAAATGATCTTACCTCCTTGACCTTCCAAAGCACTGGGATTACAGGTGTGAGCCACGATGTCTAGCCAAATTTCCCTTTAATTAATATTTCAGTTGTGGCTAATAGTAGTTATTCCCAAAGGTACTATGAATGGAGAGGTGGAGGAAATATGCTATCCAGCAATATTCCATAAAATTAATTATCTGGCCGAATTTAGGAAAAAGTGTGAAGATGGGTACATTATATATTGTAAATATATTTAAATTCAAGATTGATAGTTACTGCTATCAGTGCTTTCATATTCGTCATCCTTACAGATGAAGTCACAAAGAATGTAAGTCATTTAACTGATATTACACACATTCTAAAAGACCACAATTAAATTCACACTATTATATTCAGATTCAAGCCCCAGATCCCCCATGCAATTTATCATGAATTGTATAGTCCAAGGTGTGGGAAGGAATTTGCATACATCACTATGGAAAAGCTATTAATGATAGTTTGGTTATGTTTAAAATCTATCTTGTTGGCCTCAAAAAAGATAAAATACGAATTTTCTTTATAATAAATTTGAATTCTAGAAAGAGGGTCCAAAACTATGACACACATACATGAAAACATTTAGAGTAGGATTTTAAATACATGATTTGTTAATATGTAACACAGGAAGCTGGTACTCACCAGGAAGCAGTATGGATACTCTAAAGACATGACAATCTTTTCAACAAGGCATCTGAGGAATTGTCCATGAAAGATAAGCTAAAACAATATATGAACTCACCTGGATTTGTAGCCAGTTGAAAAAATCTTATGTAAAGAGGATTAAGACAACATAGAAGTTATTTTCTATTGGAAGAGCAAGACTCACTATTTCTTCTTGTTTTATATTTCTATATAAATACACAGATGATGACAAATCATCCAGAACTATCAAGAGTCAAGATCAAGACCCAAACCAGCAAGGTGAAATTTAATAGATCTAATATTCTGCATTACTCTTCAAGTAAGTCAATTAAATAATTCACTTAGAAAAAGAAATAAGCATTTTAGTTACCTCAAACTCAATATAAGCCGATATATGCAATTGGTTACCAAAAACATTCATAAAATCCTAATCTGTACTAACAGAGGAAAGAATGAACTTAGACCTGTGCACTCAATCTTGGTCAGATCATATGTAGTGTATTTTTTTAATATACGTATTTTTTTTTATTTTAGGGGGTACACAGTAGGTATATATATTTATGGGGTACATGAGATGTTTGGATACAGGCCTGCAATGTGAAATAATCACACCATGAAGAATGGTGTATCCATCCCCTCAAGCATTTGTCCTTTATGTTACAAACAATCCAATTATACTCTTTTAGTTATTTTTAAATATACGATTAAGTTATTACTGACTGTAGTCACTCTGTTGTGCTATCAAATAGTAAATATTATTCTTTCTTTCTATTTTTGTGTACCCATTAACCATCCACACCTCCCCAACTATACCCCTACTACTCTTTTCATCCTCTGGTAACCATCCTTCTAGTCTCTATGTTCATCAGTTGTTTTGGTTTTTAGATCCCACAAATAAGTAAAGACATGCAATATTTGTCTTTCTGTGACTGGCTTATTTTATTTAACATAATAATCTCCAGCTCCATTCATGTTGCTGCAAATGACTGATCTCATTCTCTTTTAAGGATGAATATTTACTCATATAAGGATGAATATTTACTCTTTTAAGGATGAATATTTACTCTATTGTGTACATGTACGACATTTTCTTTACTCATTCATCTGTTGATGGATGCTTACGTTGCTTCCAGATCTTAGCAATTGTAAACAGTGTAGCAACAAACATAGGGGTGCAGATACAGCTTCTATTGACTGATTTTCTTTCTTTTAGATATATATCCATCAGTGGGATTGCTGGATCATATGGTAGCTCAGTTTCTAGTTTTAGGGGTTTTTTTGTTTTTGTTTTTTTGAGACGGAGTTTCACTCTTGTCACCCAGGCTGGAGTGCAATAGTGTGATCTCGGCTCACTGCAACCTCCGCCTCCCGGGTTCAAGTGGTTCTCCTACCTCAACCTCCTGAGTAGCTGAGATTACAGGCATGCACCACCACACCCAGCTACTTTTGTATTTTTCGTAGAGACAGGGTTTCACCACGTTAGCCAGGATGGTCTCAATCTCTTGACCTCGTGATCTACCCACCTTGGACTCCCAAAGTGCTGGGATTACAGGCATGAGCCACCGCACTGGGCCAGTTTTTAGTATTTTTGAGGAACCTCCAAACTGTTCTGCATAGTGGTTGTACTAGTTTACATTCCCACTAACAGTACACAAGGGTTCCCTTTACTGAACATACTTACCAGCATTTGTTATTGCCTGTCTTTTGAATGTAATCCATTTTAACAAGGGTGAGATGATATCTCATTGTAGTTTTGATTCTCATTTCTCTGATGATAAATGATTGTTTGGACACCTTTTCATATGCCTGTTTGCTATTTATATGTCTTCTTTCAAGAAATGTCTATTCAAATATTTCGCCCAGTTTTAATTGGATTATTAGATTTTTTTCCTGTAGAGATGTTAGAGGTTCTTATATATTCTAATTTTAATCCCTTGTCAGATGGGTAGCTCATAAATATTTTCTCCCATTCTGTGTGTTGTCTCTTTATTTTGTTGATTGTGTCCTTTGTTGTGCAGAAGTTTTTTAACTTGATGTGATCCCATTTGCTCATTTTTGCTCATTTTTGCCTTGGTTGCTTGTGCTTGTGGCGTGTTGCTCAAGAAATTTTTGTCCAGGCCAATGTCCTGGATATTTTCTTCAATGTTTTCTTGTAGTAGTTTTATAGTTTGAGGTATTAGATTTAAATCTTTAACCCATTTTGATTTGATTTTTTTAATATGGTGAGAGACAGGGGTCTAATTTCATTCTGCATCTGGGTATCTAGTCTGGCACTGTTTATTGAAGAGACTGTCTTTTCCTCAATGTATGTTCTTGGCACCTTTGTCAAAAATGAGTTCACTGTAGGTGTGTGGATTTTTTTCTGTGTTCTCTATCCCGTTCCATTGGTCTGTATGTCTGTTTTTATGCCAGTACCATGCTGTTTGGGTTACAATAGCTCTATAGTATACTTTGAAGTCAGGTAATGTGATTCTTCCAGTTTTGTTATTTTTGCTTAGGATCACTTTGGCTATTCTGTGTCATTTGTGGTTCTATAGAAATTTTAGGATGGTTTACTCTAGTTCTGTGAAGAATGCCATTGGTATTTTGATAGGGATTGCATTGAATCTGTATATTTCTTTGGGTATATCAACATTTTAACAATATCTATTTTTTCAATCAAGAACATGAAATAATTTTCCTTTTTTTTTGTGTCCTCTTCAATTTCTTTTATCAGTGTTTTATAGTTTTCATTATAGAGATCTTTCACTTATTTTACTAATTCCTTGGTAAGGCATTATCACATTATAAATGAGATTACATTTTTAATTTCTTTTTCACATTATTCACTATTGACATATAGAAATGTTGCTGATTTTTGTATGTTGATTTTGTATCCTGCATTTTACTGAATTTGTTTATCAGTTCTAATAGCTATTTTGTGGAGTATTTAGGTTTTTCCAAATACAAGATTATGTCATCTGCAAACAAGGATAATTTGACTTCTTCCTTTACAATTTGGATGCACTTTATAACTTTCTCTTGTCTGACTTCTCTAGTTGGGACTTCTGGTATGATGTTGAATAACAGTGACGAAAGTGAGCATCCTTGTTATGTTCCAGATCTTAGAGGAAAGACTTTCAGTTTTACCTCATTCAATATAATACTAACTGTGGGTCTATCATATATGGCTTTTATTATGTTGAGATATGTTCCTTCTATACCCAATTCTTTAAGTTTTTTTTAATCATGAAGCAATGTTGAATTTTTTCAAATGCTCTTTCAGCATCAATGCAAATGATGATATGGTTTTTATCCTTCATCCTGTTGATATGATGTATCACATTGATTGACTTGTGTATGTTGACCTACCCTTGCATCCCAGGTTAAATCCTACTTGGTCATAATGAATGATCTTTCTAATGTATTGTTGAATTTGTTTTGCCAGTATTTTGTTCATGATTTTTGCATCAATATTTGTCAGGTAAGTTGACCTGTAGTTTTGTTTTATTTTTGATATATCTTTGTCCGGTGTTGGCATCAGGGTAATACTGGCGTTGTAGAATGAGTTTGGAAGTATTCCCTCCTCCTCTATGTTCTGGAAAAGTTTGAGTGAGATTGGTATTAGTTCTTTAAATGTTTGGTAGAATTCAGCAATGAAGTCATTGGGTCCCAGACTTTTCTTTATTGTTATTATCCCTCTGAATAAACTTTATTTTAATCTGTTATTATCCCTTTGAATAAACTTTCTACCTCTATCTCTTTCTCTGCCTCCTCTTTAAGGCCAGTAACTCTTAGATTTGCCCTTTTGAGATTATTTTTTAGATCTCATAGGTGTGCTTCAGTGCTTTTTAGTCTTGTTCTTTTGTCTCCTTTGACTATGTATTTGCAAATACTTTGTTTTCAAGCTTACTAATTCTCTCTTCTCCTTGATCGATTCTGCAATTAAATGACTTTGATACTTAAGTATGCCAATTGCATTTTTCAGCTCCAGAATTTCTGCTTGATTCTTTTTAATTATTTCAATTTCTTTGTTAAATATATCTAATAGCATTCTGAATTCCTCTTCTGTGTCATTTTGAATATTTTTTAGTTTCTTCAACATATCTATTTTGAATTCTCTCTCTGAATGGTCACACATCTCTGTTTCTCCAAGATTGGTCCCTGGTGCCTTGTTTAGTTCATTTGGTGAGGCCATCTTTTCCTGAATGGTGTTGATGCTAGTAGACGTTCTTTGGTGTCTGGTCATTGAAGAGTTAGGTGTTTATTGTAGTCTTCATTGTCTTGGCTTATTTGTACCCATCCTTTTTATGAAAGCTTTTCAGGTATTTGAAAGGACTTGAGTGCTGTGATGTAAGCTGTTTCTGCTTTTGGAGTCACCCCGAGACCAGTAATACTGTGATTCTTGCAGACTTGTAGAGGTACCACTTTGATGATCTTGGACAAAATCTGGGAGAATTATCTGTATTACTAGGCAGAGACTCTTGTTTGCTTCTCTTACTTTCTTCCAAACAAACAGTCTCATCTCTCTGTTCTGAGCCACCTAAACCTTGTAGTAGAGTGACACAAGCACTCCTGTGTACACTACCACTATGACTATGCTGGGTCAGATATGAAGCCAGCACAGTCCTGGATCTCACCCAAGAGATACTGTAACTACTCCCTGGCTACTGCCTATGTTCACTCAAGGTCCTGGGCCTCTACATTCAGCAGGCAGCAAAGCCAACCAGGCTCGTGTCCTTTCCTTCAGGGCACCGAGCTCTCCCAGGCCTTGAGTGGGTCCAGAGATGCTATCCAGGAGACAGCAACCAGAGCCAAAAACCCTAAAAGTCTACCTGGTGTTCTACTGTACTGCAGCTGAGCTGGCACTCACACCACAAGACGCAGCTCTTCCCACTCTTTCCAAAAACAGAGGAGCCTCATCCCATACCCACTGCTACCACAAGCCACAAGGAGTACTACAAGACTATTGCAGATGTTCCCTTAAAGCCCAAGGTGAATTCTGCCTGGCCTGGGACTCACTCTTCAGGACAATAGGCTCCCCTACTAGTCCAGAAATGCCATCCATGACTCAATTCCTGGAATTGGGACCCCAAGAACCTGCCTGGTGCTCTATGCCCCTGTGGCCATGATGGTACATAAGGTGTAAGACAAATTCCCCATTACTTTTGCCTCTGCTTTTCACAAGCCAAAGGAGTTTCACCGCATAGCCACCACAGCTGATGATATGCTGTATCTCACCTGAAGCAGGGAAGACTCAGAGCCTCACCCAAGGCCCTCAATATAGTACCTGGGTATTGTTGCTGGTTATTCAGGGCCCAAGAGCTCTTCAGTAAGCAAATGATGAAGCTTGCCAGAACTGGGCCCTTCCCTTCAAGGTAGTGGGTTCCCGTCTCACCAAGAGTGTGTCTAGAAATGTCTTCCAGGAGCTAGGTCTTGGAATGAGGGCCTCACAAATCAGACCAGTGCCCTATCCTTCTGTGGCTGAGCTGGTATCCAAGATGCAAGACAAAGTTCTCTCCACTCTTACCTCTCCTGTCCTCAAGCAGAAGGAAGGGATCTCTTTTGAAGCAGGCTGGGCTTAGGGGAGGGGTGATGCCAGCACTCCCTTAACCACTCTGGTTGATGTCTCAGTAGGTCGCATGCCCTCCACCCAATCCACTGTGTCTGGGCGGCTCATTTGAGGACTAGAACTTACCGAAGAATTGCAGTCTGTATGGCCTACACTGCCTTTTAAGTTTACTTAGAGACACAGAGCACTGTGGCCCTTGGCGGCAGAGTTTGTGGGAAGTCAAGTTCAGACCTCTGGAACTGGCAATTATCCTCCGGTGAGTGCGGGTTTAAATGCTCCCTCCATGGATGGGTGTCAGGTGAATTTGGTCTGGTCTTCCATTCTGCTTAACAGGATAGCACTGAGTTCAATGTCTCACAATTGTTGTGTTCTCCCACCTGCAGGGCCCAGAGATGCTCTCTGCACCATGCCTAGGCTGCTGGGGTTGGTGGATAAGCGGCGTTGGCAATTCAAGGCTGTTTGTTTTGTCAATGTTGTCTGTGCCTATTTCAGTGATACAAAGATGACACCAGGTATGAGGAAGGCTCATCTGATTTCTGGCTGTTATGAAGGTGTTTTTTTCTGTGTCAACAGTTGTTAAATTGGTGTCCTTGAGGGAGGAGTGGAGCCTTCTATTCCACCATTTTGCTTTACCTCTTCCGTGATCTGTACCGTGTATTATATTTATGTCTGGTTACCATGTTTTAAATGAACTGTGATAAAACTGTACAGAATTTTGAGAATGGTGGCTATAACACTAAGAGACCTTGCTGTTTTATGTAAGAAATGTTACAATAAACTAGAATATTTGTAGTGGAATTGAGAATACTTAATGAGAATGTTGAGAGCAGTCCTAAAATATAGAAGAGGTGCTTATAAAAGCAAAACCAGAATTACTTTAAAATTGGTAACCTCAAAGCAAGCACATACCAATGTATGGAAGTTTACACAAAGACTTCATATCAATAACAGAGAACACAATTTTATATTTCATAATAACATAACAATGAATGAATGCATTCATAACATAATGTAATTGTTTTCTTTCAGGTCCATAGGCTCCATGTCACTTGATGATCAAAGCAGGTGTTCTACTAGAGAGAACATAAAAACGTGGTCTGTAAGGTTTCTTCCAAAGTTAAAGTTGTGTTTGATATGCATTTGGATTCTGCTTTTTTTAATGAGCAGCTTGTTCTAGACAGTCTACTGCTGTACGGTTTCACTCACCACTGCAGGGTTGTGTGCAGCATTCAGCAGGGACAGAGGACACTAATATCAATGCCAGGGAAGTCACTGAAGGAACAATGATCTGAGGAGACCCAGCAGTTTTAAGGCAAGTCTTTGAAGGGCTCCTCTGTGTGGAAGCCTCAGATCTTATTTGACTGGTTCACTGCAGCACTGATGAGTTGAGATTCTCTGAAGTGAGAGGTCTGCAACTTAACTCTTCCCGATGACTTTTTCCTCTGACCAACTGACTTTCTTATCTTACTGTGGCAATGAAGTTAAATCCAGTTCAGTGTGTTTTAAAGAGCAATAACAACACTCCTACTTCATCTCCTCTACACACAAATTTGCACAACCTTTCTAAATAATGCATACCTGCGCAACTTCAGATAAAACGTTTCCCTTTCATGTAATCCTTTGTGCTTGTATAATAAGTAAATCTTGTAGGAAAAAACTGAAAGCTTCAAATATTGATAAGCCAGTAACATTCCTCTTTTAGCAACTTCTGAATTTTAATAAATTTAATTTTAATAAACCAGCAGACTATCTTTGCTAGCAACACTTTGTATTTCCATATTTGAAGAGCATCATAATGGAAATTGATTTATTAAAAACAATTCCAAGCATATAGCATCTGATGCTATTGATCATAACAATGTTAACTTGGTAAGAAGTGTAAGGTAATAGTAGAGATGTGAGATTTTTTTTGCCAACAGTCCTCGGGGGACATTTTTTTGCTAAAATTTCAGGATAGAAACTTTAAAACTCAAAATTATAAGTTTCTTTGCAGGCTAGTGAGAAATTATCTAAGAATAATATTCAAGTCTTTTTCAAAGAATTCTGTGAAATGAGGTCAAGAAAATGACAGTAGCATTGTGCCCTTGGGTGATTATTTATTTTATTTTATTGTGTGTTTGTGGCATACAGCTTTTTTTTTTTTTTTTTCACTTTAAGTTCCGGGATACATGTGCAGAACGTTCAGGTTTGTTACATAGGTATACATGTGCCACGGTGGTTTGCTGCACCCATCAACCCGTCATGTAGGTGATTATTATGGAGGAAAATCATTGTTGTTTAACATTGTCATAAAAGACTGAAAACTAGCCTCTATACCCTCAGCCACTTTGTCCTTCAGGTAGGAGGTAAGGATTTCCAAAGATAATACAAGTTTTGGAAGCTTATTAGTATAGAGTGTAGAATGGATAATTCTCTCCTCTTATCCCGTGAGTCTACAACCTGGGTCTCTAGGAGATGATTTGGGGCAATATCAACTGAGAAGGGGGCACCAGAGGCCAACCAGGTGATGCTCTGTTAATTCCACTAATCCCTAACAAGTATTAGGCATGCTGATGCATAAAATGCCCACCTCCAAAGGTAAAGGATAAAAGTCTAAGCACTGTGTAATAATGTCCTTAAATAAACCTGATCTAAAGTTAATAAACCAATACTAACCTTCATAGTTAAAGTTAATAAACCAATACTGATTTTCATTTTATCTACCTATTTTAATTCAATTCAACAAACACATTTGATAATTCTCTAGGACATGCTTTGGTTGATTTGTTTGTTTGTTTGTTGTCTAGGCTATGCTGGCTTCTGAGCCCTCTTGTCAGTATCATGAAAGGGCCTCTGAACCCTCTAGCTCTCCCTGCTCTGCATGCGTCCCAGGCTCACTCTCCAACAGGCCTGCTGACTTGCTCTCTTGCTACTCTCAAAACACAAAGACTACCACACCTCACTTCTCATTTCTTGAGCTAAATCTACTGCCACAAAGAGAGGAAACTTTTTTTTTCTTCCAACTCTTATAGACCTTTAGGTTTCCAAATTGCCACCGTAAGTTTCAGTTTTATCGTCTTGCTTATTAGGTAATTGAAGGAGTTCTGTGGAAAGAAAATCAAAGAGGATTAAAGGTTACAGAATATTTCCCTTATTGATCATAAGCTGCTGTCTCAGGTCAGAAAACAAGCTTAAAAATCCCCCACTCCACTCCCATCCTCACGATGACCTCTTACATAGTCTTATCAGAGTCATTGCTTTTTTCTCTGATATTCTAAGGGGACTGATTATTGGGCACTATATTTCCTTGCTCTCAAGAAGCCAATGAAACACTCACAAAAATAGGACTCCAGAATAACCTGTTATCTCAGAATTCATAACTGGGGGTATCATACAAGGCCACCAGGACATTCACTTCATTCTCCAGAACTCTTTGGTAGTTATAAATATGATGACCTGTAATTGGAGAAATAAAGAACCAATAGAGCAGCCATCTTCTCAGATTTCATATATGTTAACTTTTGTTTGAACTATAATCTTGATACTACATACTCATCTAATCAAAATTATCAACACTTTTTATTCATATATGTTTTCTCAAATGCTTCTCCATAGTTCTGACTCTCCTGCTCATTTTTTCTCTGATTTTCCTTATTTCAGATTATGCAAAAACAATAGAGAGATGCTGTTAAACCCTAACATTATCTCTTGATTCTCCAGAACTAAATCCTAAAATTAACAATAACCAACAATCTGACATGATTTTAATAATTTTATATAACATGTAGAGACTCACTTGTTTGTCAGGGTAAAAACCAAGTTAAACAGTTTTTATTCCACCAAAACAGTGTAGCCAGACTACTGAGTACCCGTCAACCAAACCGTGCCTCCTTTCCTCACACCAAGCTGCTAGAAAAACCTTATCAGACCATTTGTAACAGAGTTAATTTATTTTTTATTAAAATAAGCAGTTACTGCTGAAAACTAAAATAGAAACATAAACTTTTTATGAAAATGCACATTGATATAAATACCATGTCACATCTGTAGGCTGTTTAAATGTCTCATAAAACATATTCCAAATGGTTGTGAATTAATCATTAATTCCCAAGATGAAAATAATTAAGAATAACAGATTTGAACAATTAAAACTGAGAAAAACAAAGACAATCAGATAGAAGCTTTCACTGAAAAGAAAAAGTGTTTATAGTATATTTAGCATAGATCTCAGAGCAAGAGAGCTCTGTACTTATTTTAAGTGTTAGAAACTGGTTACATTTTAGACTAGAAAATGAAGGAAAAGTCAGATATGATTAAAAATGACATGTGCCTTGAGGATAAAGGCTACAACCCTTTAGCTGTCCAAAATGCTTCTGATGGGGGGGTTCTGCCAGAGATCTTCAGAATCCATAAAGAAAACCTCAGAATGTCAAGATTTTCGAAAGTATTGCCCAAGGGAGGCCTACAAACACAATTTAAAGATCATTGAGCTGTTTCTCTATTGACATCTTTTTCTACTAGCACTTTTTCCAAATTGAAAGCATCAATTTTTTAAAACTCAGAAATATTTCATAAAAGCTCATAATGCTTTCTCTAGAACAACAACATAACTATTACCAGCACATGATCGTCTCACCTTTTAGATGATTTTTAATGAAAAAGAGTTGCATTAATATTATCTTACGTCATGGATTTTTTCTTTATTTCTAAATTACGCAAGTGTTTAATAACCTGTCAATTTTATGATTATCTTGAATCTACAACAACTTAATTATTTACATTTGTATTGCTCTCACATATTCCAGTATACATAATCACCTCTATGGTCAAGTAAGCATTACAATTTCCATTTATTTTTTAATTAATAAATTATATTTCTTAGAGCAGTTTTAGTTTCTTCCAAAACTGTTCAGAAAGTACAGAGGGTTTTCATATATACTTAACCCCATCCACATGAAGCTCCCTTTCCCCACTGCCAACATCCCTTACCGGAGTTGTACATTTGTTAAAATGAACCTACATTGACCCATCATTATCAGTGAAAGTCCACAGTATACATAAGAATTCACAATTGATGTTATAAATTCTGTATGTTCTGAAAAATAGATAATGACATGCATCCATCATTGTAATATTATACAGGATAGTTTTACTGCCCTAAAATTACTCTGTGCTCAGCCTACTTATCTGTTTCTCCTCCCTTAGCCGCCCCCCACCTCTGGCAGCCACTAATCTCTTTTACAGTTCCATAATTTTGGCTTTTCCAGAATGTCATTCAATTGGAATCGTATTTTTTAGATTGGCTTCTTTCACTTTGTAATATGCATTTAACTTTTCTCCTTATTTTTTCATGGCTTTATATATAGCTCATTTTTTTAGTACTGAATAATATCCCATTGTCTAGATGTGCTACTATTTATTTATCCACTGATATACCGAAGGACGGTTTGAATGCTTTCAAGTTTGGGCAATTATGAATACAGCTGCTGTAAACATCTGTGAGCAGGTCTTTCTGTGGACATACTTTTTAACTTACGGTATTGGGAAAATATCTTTGGGTAAATACAAGGAAATGCAATTGCTATATTGTATGGTAAGAATATGTTTAGCTTTATACAAAATCGCTAAACTGCTCTCCAAAGTGGCTATACCATTGTGTATTCCCACCAGCAATGAATGAGAATTCCTGTTGCTCTACATTCTTGTCAGCGGTGGATATTGTCAATGTTTTGGGGTTTGCTATTCTAATAAGTGTAATGGTACATTGTTGTTGTTTTATTGTAATTCTCTAATGACATATGACGTTGAATATCTTTTTATATGCTTACTTGTCATCTGTATATCTTCTTTGGTTTAGTGTCTGTTCAAGTCTTTTGCACATTATTCAATCAGATTGTTCATTTTCTTACTGTAGAGTTTTAAGCTTTTTCATGTATTTTGGATAACAGTCATTTATGAGACATGTATTTTGCAAATATTTTCTCCCTGGCTATGACTTGTCTTCTCATTCTCTTGACATTGTCCTTCAAAGAACAGAAGTTTTTAATTTTAATAGAGTCCAACTTATCAATTATGCCTTCCATAGATTGTGCTTTTGGTGTTGTGTCTAAAAAATAATTGCCCTATTAAAGATCATCTAGGTTTTCTCCTATGTTATTTTCTAGAAGGGTTATAGTTTTGCTTTTTATATTTAGGTTTATAATGTGTTTTAATTTACTTTCAGAAAGATGTAATATCTGTGTCTAGATTCTTTTTTTTTTTTTTTTGACATGTGGATGTTTACTTGTTCCAATGTCATTTGTTGAAAAGACTATCTTTGCTCTATTATGCTGTCTTTGCTCCTGTGTCAAAAATCGCTTGACTATATTTATGTGGGTTTATTTTTGGGCTCTCTATTTTGTTCCTTTTATCTATTTTTCTGTTCTTTTGCCAATACCACAGTCTTGATTACTGTAGCTTTATAGTAAGTCTTGAAATTGTTGTTAGTTCTCCAACTTTGTTCTTCTCTTTCAATATTGTCATTCTAGGTCTTTCATCTCTGTATAAAAACTTTTTAACCAGCTTATCAATTCATGAACAAACTGTCTGGGATTTTGACTGGGGTTGCATTGAAGCTATAGATCAAGTTGGGAAGAGCTAACATACTGACAACATTGAGTTTTTCTACCACCAATACGGAATATCTTTCTACATGTATTTAATTTTTTTTTTTTTTTTTTTTTTTTGAGATGGAGTCTTGCTGTCGCCCAGGATGCAGTGCAGTGGCACGATCTCGGATCACTGCAAGCTCCGCCTCCTGGGTTCACGCCATTCTCCTGCCTCAGCCTCCTGAGTAGCTGGGACTACAGGCACCCGCCACCATGCCCGGCTAATTTTTTGTATTTTTAGTAGAGATGGGGTTTCACCATGTTAGCCAGAATGGTCTCGATCTCCTGATAGCTCTCATTAAAGTTTTGTAGTTTTTCTCGTAGATATTGTGTACACATGTATTTAGACTTACACCTATGTATTTCATTTTGGGGTGCTAATGTAAATGATAATGTGTTTTTGCTTTCAAATTCCACTTTTTTATTGCGGGTATAGAAGAAAGTGATTGACCTTTGTATATTAACCTTATATCTAGCAATCTTACTATAATAACTCTTAGTTCCACGAGTTTCTTTGTCAATTTTTAAAAATTTTTTCATAGTCTGTGGTCTGAAAACAAAAGCAGTTGTATTTTTTCTTTCTCAATCTGCTTACCTTTTCTTTTTTTACAGCATTATCTAGGACTTTTAGTACTATACTGCAAAGCAATAGTGAGAGGGAATATTCTTTCTTTGTTCCTGATCTTAGCAAGAAACCTTCAAGTTTCTCATTATTGAGTACATCGTTAGCTTCAGGTTGTTCATAGATATTCTTTATCAAATTGAAGAAGTTTCAGCTGTGTTTCCAGTCTTCTGGGAGTTTTTATCATCAATAGGTGTTATATTTTCCTATATGATTTTCCTGTATTTATTGATATTATCATGTTATTTTTCATCTCTAGTCTGTTGATGTGGTGGATTGCATTAGTTGGTTTTTAGTTGAAAGTGCCTTGCATACTTGGGATAAATCCTACTTGATCATGTTGTATACTTCATTTGACATTTTGTGTTTAATTTGCTAGTATTTGTTGAGTTTTTTTGCATTGTATTAATAAGAGAAATTAATCTGCAACTTTTGTGGTAATGTCTTTGGTTTTGTTATTAGGATAATGCTGGCCTCATAGAATGAATTTGAAAGTGTTCCTCCTGCTTCCACTTTCTGGAATTGATTGTAGAGAACTGACATAATTTCTACTTAAAATATGTGGTAGAATTTACCAGTAAACTCATCTCAGCCTGGCACTTTCTGTTTTGGAAGATTATTAATTATTGACTCAGTTTCTATAATATATATGCCTATTCAGATGATCTATTTCTTCTTGTCTAAGTTTTGGCAGATTGTGCATTTTACAGAATTGGTCTATTTCATCTAGGTTATCAAATTTGTATACAAAGACAGGTTCATCATTTTTATTATTATTCTTTTAGTATCCATGCAATCTATATTGATGTTCTTTCATTTCTGATATGAATAATTTGTGTCTTTTCTCATTTTTCTTAAATAATCTAGGTTTTCTTCTATGCTATTATCTAGTTTTACAGTTTTGCATTTTATATTTATGCTAAAGGCTTATTGATTTTATTGATCTTTTCTAATAACCACCTTTTGGTTTTGATAATTTTTTTACTTCCTATTTTTAATTTCACTGATGTCTGCTCTAATTTTTATTTTTTTCTTCTGCTTACTTTGGATATAATATACTCTTTCTAGTTTTCTAAAGTTGGAGATTGCATTATTCATTTTAGATCCTTCCACTTTTCTAATATATTCATTCAGTCTTATAAATTTTGCTGTAACAGCTGCTTTCGCTGCAACCCACAAATACTGAT